GCTCTCTCCAGGAAAGACCTCGGGGTCACGGGCACCGGCGCCCGGTGCGCCCGCCCCGTTGCCGTGCTGCACTTAAGTCGGGCCCGTCCCTCTACAGGAGGGAGGGATATGCAAAAGTAGTATAAAAAATAAGATGGGGATTTTTTTAGCATTTTTTTGACAATTTGGGCGCATGTTTGGAGTATGTTTTATTTTTCGTCGAAAATCCCCCTGTAGGGGGACACGCCCGACTTAATGCTGTACTTGCGGCGGGGGCGCTCGTTGTGGAATGTGCCCAGGGGGCTTCGGACCCTGGAGGGTTACTTGCAGCGGGGGCCCAGACCAAGAAGCACCCTGCCTGCCTCCAGGGTGCCCTGGGTTTCCTGGGTCTCGATGGTCTTGCTGTGGAAGGCGTGACGTTCCCGCACCAAAAATCAGTGGACGCCCTGGGGTCTCAGGGCTGGGTTTCTTGTGGAAGGTCTCTTGTGGTCGGGCCCCCACTGTATCTGATGAGGTCGGCAGTGATATCCATGGCCAGTCCACGATTGGTGTTCCACCAGCTTCCAGACCCTGGGTTCCTTATCCAATGGTTCCTTATCCAATGCCCTCACCGTAGCCGCCGACGACGGCCTAAGCTCTCTCTGCCCGTCCTGGCCGCCTCACTCGTGAAGGGACGTCGTGTTTGCCGCGGGCGGCGCCCCCTGCCGTCGTTGATGCTGCGACGCGTCCGTACAGTTGGGCTGCGCACCAGCGCAACCCCGCCGACCCGCGCGGTTCCCGTACGTCTTTTTTATTTGTCTGTTTTCCTCTATCCTGCATTGCATTTAGGGGAACAAAAAGTGGCATAAACATAAAAACTCGGAGGTCCGTGCGGATTTCTCGAATCGGCGCTGGACCCCCCTCCCTGGCGCGCGGAGCGCGCCAGGGCGCGCCGGAGGCGCCGCCGCGGGGCCCCAGCGCCGATCCGAGAAATCCGTGCGGACCTTCGAATTTTTATGTTTATGTCACTTCTTGTTCCCCTAGCATTGCATCTCATGAGTGCTTCGGCCTTTTCCGCGTCCATCCGCTTCTGCAGGTTTCGGCACGTGACTGCCCCCATCCAGTCCACCCCTCTGCTTCGCCAGGTGGTAATTTGCCCACGCGTGACCCGGCTGAAAGCATCGCGACGGCCCCATCGCCTCGCCGCTGAAGGAAAAGCGCGTGTAAGTTGAAGAATACTGCTTGCAACAGAACCTCGATCGACGATGCTACTTTTGCATGCGACTCGCAATCAAAGAGCAAATGTTTCAGATGCCAGTGCAACCGCCAAGCCCGCACCCATTGAGCTTGAGCGCTTACTGGTGTGGCCACGCCGCGGTCCCTTGCGGGAGCGGTGGCTGGCAACAGTGCTCTTGGCTGAAACGACAGTTCGGCCATGCAGAATTTTTCAACGAAGCACGCGCGCGTGGAGGAGACCGGGTGACGTAAAGGGTGTAGGGCGCACAAGATTCGCACATGCATGCCACACCGTTGACTTTCAGCCCGCGGTCAACCCACCGAGATGCGAGGCCACGAGATCTCCCTCGTGGCCAAGTCCGTGGACTACTCCCAGCGGAACGAGGCTGTCGTCACGATCCTCCGCGAGAGCCGGCGCTGCCCTGCGGACCTCGTCGTCTGCCTGTCCAAGACTCACTACGCCGGGCAACTCTGGCCCCGCCTCGCCGCAAGAGACCGCTCGCCTCCCGAGGCCACACCGGGCACTCGACCCGTCGGCGCGCAGGACCGACGAGCCTCCGGCCCCCCGGAGGGTATCGTTCCCCCAGGCGGCGAGCAGGTCTCGGACTTTCGCCGAGCGCGTGCCACTGCTCGCAAAGTGCTAGCAAGAAAGCCCCTGCAGCTAATCTACAGAGAGAGAGAGCTGCAGCTCGAATAGCACAGCACTTCTTCGAGTAACACTACAAGGGTAACAGCGAGACGATGAGCATTGCTCAGGATGGCCGCGCCGGCGAGGGGAGCTCCCTCGCCCTCGCCGCCAGCCTCCATCGGGCCCCCCGTCTCCAAGAGGCCGCGGCCGCTGGGCTCGCCTGGCCGCGGCCCCCCGAGCCACCTGCTCGGCGTCACCCCAACATACTTATACGATATGTGGCGTCGCCCCCCCTTGGGTCATGCGCGCACCGGAGAAATCTATAGTATAAGTCGTCGGGCGGGTTTCTGGCCACACCGCTCGGAAACGATATACTACAGGACGGGTATACTATATGTTTGGGTCGGACACGCGCGCCTCCAAGGAGAACATATAGTAACTAGTGTGTCTTTTTGCGTCCCAACCTGCCGAGGATGCCTCGCCCCGCCGCGCCCTGCCCCGAGGATGCCGGCGCCCCCTCCCGGGGCGCCGCGGGCCCGAGGCCCGATGGGGCGGGCGCCGGCGCCCCCGGCCTCGGCGCCTGGCACCCTCGCGGGCAACCCCCGCGCCAGTGGAGGCGCGAGTTATGATCCGAAAAACATCAGGGGACCTTGAGGAGAGGAGGAGGAGGAGGAGGAGGAGGACGAGGAGGAGAGAGGAGGAGGAGGAGGAGGAGGAGGGCAGGCCGCGCCTCGACTGGCGCGGCGGGCAGGGCGACTGCCGCGCCGGGGGGGCCGCTCGGGGCGCCGGGGGCGCGGGCGCTCGAGCAGCCGGAGGCCCGCCGCCGCAGCTGCCCCGGGAGGCCGCTCCTGCCCCCGCTCCTCCCCCGAGCAGCGCCAGGCGCATCCGACGCGCACCTCGGCCTCGACGAGGCAGCACTCGACGTCGCAGCGGCGGTGCAGCCCGTCCGTCCGGGGTGCAGCCCGTCCGACAGGGGCACAGAGTTCGGCCCCTCCTCCTGCGAGGGCAGCGTCTCCAGAGGGCCCACCGCCCTGGTGGGGCGCGTCGCCAAGCCGCGGGCAAGCGAGGGGGGGCATCAACTGCAGTCGAAGGCTTGAGCCGAGGCCCCCTCAGGATTCGGAGGGGGCTCGGTGGCTCCTTGTGCTTTCCTGTCGTCCTTCCGCTTTGCTGCGGAAAGCCCCCCTCTCTCCTTCCCCGTCCCTCCCCTCCCTCCCCTCCCTCCCCTCCCTCCCTCCCCTCCCCCTCCCTTCCTCCCTCCCTCCCTCCCTCCCCCCCCCCTCACTCCCTCCCTCCTTCCCTCCTTACGGGTTGGTGGGCGTGGGATCATCGTGACGGGAGACCGGTCCCGTGCTCTTGCCTCGGTCCCCCGTCGGAATGCTCGACCTCTCGTCGACTGCCGGCTTACGCTTACGTCGGGCCTGTCCCTCTACAGGGGGAAAAGTCAAAAATAGTCAAAAAATAGTTTGGGGGGACTATTTTTTGTGTTGTATTTTCGAGCATTGTTTGAATATTTTGGGGGTATCTTTTAATGTTCCTCCAAAATCCCCCTGTAGGGGGACAGGCCCGACTTGACTCTAGGCTCTCCTCCCTGTGCTCCTCATCCTCGTCATCTTACCCCGACCCATTCGCCGGCTCGCCCCCTAGTTATTTTCAGATATCCCCGGCCTAATCCTACTCCTTCTCCTCCTTTGGGCTCTTTTCTCCCTACTGCTGCTGCTCCTCCTCCTCGTCATGTCCCCCTCTCCCCTCCTCCTTCTCCTCCCGCCCCCCATTCCTCCGTCCCCCGTCCTTCTCATTCCTTCCGCTTCCTCATCCGTCGCGCAAGCCCTGGGCCTCTTTTCATTCCTTTTCATCTTCTTCCTCCTCCTTCCCTCCATCTATTCATCCATTTCTCCATCCCCATCTCTTCCTCCCTGTCTTCCTTCCTTGTTCCATCTCCATTTTCCCTATCCTTCCCCTCCGCGTTGCCATTATCCTCTCCCTCCTCTTCATTATTGCACGTTTCCCCTCCTCCTCTCTCCTCCTCCTCCTCCTCCTCCTCCTTCTCCTCCACCCCCTCTTCCTTCTCCTCCTCCTTCTCCTCCTCCTCCTCCATATGTATTTGCAAAATTTGGGAAATGAGTATACATATATGTATATATGTATATGTACACAAATGCATACATACATACATACATACATACATACAGACAGACAGACAGACAGACAGACAGAGACAGACAGACAGACAGACAGACAGACAGACAGACAGACAGGTATATATGTGTGTATATATACACATATATATAGAAAGCGAGAGATAGAAACAACAAAAAAGATATGGCCGCCTCTCTCCACTCCCTCTCCCCCCTCCTCTTCCCTTCCCCTCCTCCTCCTCCTCCTTCCCCTCCTCCTCGACTTCTTTGTCGTCCTCCTCCTCCTCCTGCTCCCCCTCTTCCCGCACTGGGGCTCCTGGGAGGCCGCTTCTCTTCGGCTGTGGAGTCCCTGCGGTCGTGGTGGACCTGCACTCGCCCAGATACCCTGCGGCCGCAGAGGTCTCAGGCGCCAGGGGCGGGTGTGGGGGGAGGGGGAATTCCCTCTCCTCCTCCCCGCCCTCCCACACGTTGACCGTCATGCCACCGTTGCACCACCACCACCCCGCCCTCCTTGTGCCTTCTCCCCGTCCTCCCCCCTTCCTTCGGGCAGATACAGAAGGCAAACGATCAAGGGACAAACTGTCCAGCGTGTGTGGCCTGACGGGCTCCGAAAGTTCAAGACCCGACGTTTGAAAGTTTGCGTTCCGGAGCACCGAACAGCGGATGGCACGTTGAGTAAGGAGAGGGGAAGAGAGCAAGGAATAAACGGAGGATGAGGAGTACAATGGGTGACATTCCCACATCAATGTCTGTCTGTCTGCCTGTCTGTCTGTATGCATGGATGCAGGTAGACAGGTAGGTAGGTATATAGGTAGGCATACATGTATGTATGGATGGATGGATGGGCTGGTGCATGCATGTAATGTATGTATGTGCCTATGTATGTGCGTGCGTATGATTGTGTGTATTGTGCTTGTGTGTGCATGTACGTATGTATGTGTGTAATTATGTATGTAGGCATGTATGCATGTGTGTACGTACGTACTTGCACATGTATATGCATGCATACAACCGTGTATGCATACGTGCATGCATGTATGTATGTATGCATGCAAGTGTGTATGGCTGTGTGCATGCATGTATGTACGCATGTATGTATATACGATTGTTTGTATGTGTGTATGTATGCCTGTATGCACGTATGTATGTATGTATGCATGGATGCACTATGTTTGTGTGTACATGTACGTATGTAGGTATGTATGTTGGTATATATGTATGTGCGTACCTGCATGTATGCACATGTACATGTACGTATGCAAACGTGTATGCATACGTGTATGTATGTATGCATGTGTGTATGTTTGGTTGTATGGATGTGTGTTCGTGTGTGTATGTATGCATGCATGCATGCATGTGTGTATGTATGTGTGTATATACGACTGGTTGTATGCATGTATGTGTATTTGTAGGCCTGTATGCATGTATGTATGTATGTGTGTATGCATATGTGTATGCATGCTTCTATGTACGGATGTATGGATGTATGTACATGCATGCATGCCGATATGTATGTGTGCATGCATGTATGGAAGGTTGTACGCATGTGATTATGTATATATATATATATATATATATCCACACATGCATACGGGTGTATGTATGGATGCACGCATATATGCATATGTGCATGTGTGTACGCATGCATGCACGCATGCATGGTTGCATGCATGCATGTGTGTAGGTGTGGATGCATGCATTGATGTGCGCATGCATGTATGTATGCACGCATGATTGTATGTGTGTAGGACGGTATGGAGGTCGGTTGGTATGCCCGTATCTAGGTATGTATGCATATGTGTGAATGCATGCATTCACGCATACACACATACAGAGGTTTGTACGTACGTACGAATGTACGTGTGTGCATGCATGTATGTGCGTATAGATGTGTGGATATACGTGTGCACGTGCGTATGCATGTCTGCATGTATGTATGAATGTGTGCATGTATGTATGGTTGTGTGCATGCACGTATGTATGTATGTAGGTATGCATGCATGAATATAGGATTGTATGAATACATTTATAAATGTATACATGTATGAGTATCCGCTTGTATGCCTGTATGCTTGTGTGCATGTCTGTCTGTCTGTCTGTCTGTCTGTATGTATGTATGTATGTATGTATGTATGCGTATATATACATATATATATATAGAGAGATGTATGTTTCTACGCATGTATATATATATATATACACATGTATGGCAATTTGCCAGTCCGTCTATCTGTCTGCCTGCCTGTTTGTCTGTCTGTCTGTAGGTATGAATGTATGGAGTGGCCTTCGGTCCATCTGGTCACCGTGCTTGGATTGTAGGTCAGGAGGGCTCTCAGGGGCCTCGAGGGGCCGCGTTCAGGCCTGTTGGATGCCTCTCGGGAGCCTCTTCGGGGCCGCTTCCTGGCGGCCTCTTGGGGCCTCGTGGGGCCTCGTGGGGTGCTGCTTGGGGGACCTCTTCGGGCCTCCCGGGGGCCCCCTGGAAGCCCCCTGGGGCCGAGGGCCCGAAATGTCAGTCCCGGCCCCCCGCCATTGCCCCTCCCCTTTTATGGGGCCATGTTGGGGGCCTATTGGGCGTCTTGGGGTGTCCTGGGGCCCTATTTGGGTTATTTCGGTGCCCTATTCGATGCCTCGTGGCTCTCTTAGGGGCGCTCTTGGGGGGCTCGTGGGTTGTCTTGGGGCGTCGGGGAGTCGAACAGGCGAGACCGCCAAAATCTTGCAAGCATGTCCTGCGGGTCAAGGATTTGGGCCTCTCGGTGCCCTATTGGGGCACTCTTGGGGCGTCTCGAAGGCTTCCTGGGCCATCGATATCTGCACACGCACACGTGCACATTCATACCTACCTGCCTATCTACCTACCTGCCTGCTGGCCTACCTACCTACCTGTCTGTCTGCCTGCCCATCTACCACCCTACCTACATACCTACCTACAAACACACATACCTACACACATCCCTCCATGCACCCATGTATGCATACACGCAGGCGTACATACATGTATACATAAATTCATCAATCCAGCCATACAGACATATACACGCATATCTATACATACGTGCATGCGTGCATGCATGCATGTACACCGAACGGCCTACCTACATACATACACACATACAAACGTATACACGTGCACACATACATACATACACACCCCTACACATACACAATACATGCATGCCTGCCTGCATGCATGCACACAAACATACGTAGACACATACACACATGCATACATGCATACCTCAAAGCATGCATACAAACATACATGCATACACATACACACATACACATATACATCCATACATACATAAATACGTATATACATACATGCACTTATACATACACGCAGACCTAGCATGCATGCGTACATACATACATACACACATACATACGCACATGCACACAACCATCCATCTATGTACGCATACACATGTATACATGCATGCATGTTCACATACTTACAGACATACATACACATACATACATACATACCTACATACACGCATACACACATGCATGCATACCTACGGACATACACACATGCATACACATACATACACTCACACATGCATACATGCATACATACATACACCCGTATATGCATACACATATACACATACAGCCACACATGCACACATACACACACGCATATATACAAGCATACATGCATGCATCAGTGCATACACGTATGCATTCATACATAAATACATGCATGCATATTTGCACACCTACGTACACACATACACACATGCATACATTCACACATGCATCCACACATAACTACATGCATACATGCATGCCTACACACATGCACACATACATGCATATACGCATGCATACAAACATATGTACATGCATACACCCAAGTACCTACACACATACATGTATGCACGCAAACACACATACGTACGCACATACATACATACATATAGACATACATACATACATAACTACATACATACACATGTGCGCACGTACGTACATACGTACATGAACGCACACATACAAATAAACATACATACATGAAAAGTTATTGTTGATCCCCCGTCTCCGCTAACTTTTGTTTTTCAATTGAAGGGCCCCTTCCGGAGCTCGCACCTTGTTTTTATTAGGAAAGGTCTTCCTCCTCAAACTACGTTGTTGGCCCCCGGACTACAACAACAACGGCTCCCGCTTGACACTTCCTCGAAATTTGCTGAGGAGTCGCGCTCTCGCTAGGGACTTCCTTGCAATTTATCAAAGGATCGCGCTCTCGCCAATGACTTCCTCGCAATTTATTCAGGCGCCACGCCCTCGCCATTCAGGAATCGTGCTCTCGCCTGGGAATTCTTCATAATCTGTAAGGGCTTCGCCCCATGCCGCCGGCCCCCTGCCTCGGATAATGGGAGATGCAAAAGCTAAATCATGAAGTCTGGGCGCCGCCGTGAAGCAGTGTCGGGACCTGTTTGTTTTTCGACCCTGACCCTACGGATCTGCGTGAGGGGTGCCACCGGATTTCAGAGATGTGGCGCATCCCCTGTGTTTGTGGACCCTGACCCTATGGATCTGCGTGAGGGTGCCGCCAGATTTCACAAATGTTGCAAATCCACAGTGTTTTTGGACCCTGACCCTGTCGATCCGCGTGAGGGGTGCCACCGAATTGTATAGAAATTGTGAGAATCCCCCAGGTTTTCGGACCCTGACCCCGCCGATCTGCGTGAGGGGTGCCATCGAATTTCAGAACTGTAGCAAATCCCATGTGTTTTTGGACTCTGACCCCGCCGATCTGCGTAAGGGGTGCCGCCGAATTTCAGAAATGTGGCAAGTCCATTTTGTTTTCGAACCCTGACCCCGCCGATCTGCGTGAGGGGTGCCAGCGAATTTCATCAATGTGGCAAATCCCATGTGTTTTGGCACCCTGACCCCGCCGATCTGCAGGAGAGGTGCCACCGAATTTCAGAAATGTGGCAAATCCCATGTGTTTTTGGACCCTGACCCCGCCGATCTGCGTGAGGGGTGTCAATTCTTACCCACCCCAGCAATTCAGAGCATACGCTCAGGGCGTGGTAAAACTGCCCGTTTTGGGCCTCCCCCCCTGGCGCGGTCCATCAACAAGGAGCAGTAAGCAGCAAGAAGTCAACAAGGAACAGTAAGCAGCAAGAAGCAGAGCTGTAACAGTGGAAACTGGAAGCTGCAACTGGTACAGGAAACTGCGAACCTTCGGTCTACAGCCTCGTGGCCCCACAAGGGGGCCGGCGGATTTACTTAGGAATCTCGCTTTTGCCCGAGATTTCCCAGCGAATTATGCAGGACTCACGGATTCGCGTAACATAAATGTTCTTTCAATTGAAGTGCCCCTACCAGGGAAAAGCTTCCTGCTCAATCCGTGTCCCTGGCCCCGCTTTACAACAACAGCGGCTCCCCCTGCTATCTCCCCACAACTTATTCCCAAACCGCGCTCTCGCGAGGGACTTCCTCGTAATCTAATACAGGAATCACGCTTTCGCGTGGGACATCTTTGCAGTTTATTCAGACGCCACGCCCTCGACACTCAGAAATCACGCTCTCGCTGTGGATTTCTCCGAGATTTATTGGAGAATCGCGCTATCGTTCGAGACTTCCTCGCGACTCACGCAGGACGCACGCTTTAGCACCCCGCCTGCTCGATCTGGCCGTCTAGGCCCGCCGTCCCGACCCGCCTGTTCGGGTCTACCCGCCCGATCTGCCCGTCTGGTCCTGCCATGTGTTTTCTGCTTCCAGCCCCCCTCCTGCTATTTTCTCTCGTGCTCCATTTTCCTCCCTCCCCCTTGTCCCTTCCTTCCATCCGTCCTCTCTTTCACTGCCTTAGGGGCTGCACGAAATACACACGCTGCAGGTAAGAGTGGTGCACCCTGAAGGGGGCACGATCGACGACAAAGGGGGCGGGTATCGAGGGTTTGGGATATACGTGTTGAGTGGCACGCGAGCAGATGTGAGCGATCAGTCGTAAACTGAGTGTTGTTCTCGTCTGTGAGTGACTTGTGAGGAGGTCTCAGGCGGGAGCCCTCTCCCTATGGGGCCCGCATTTCATATCTTTAATCCGCGCGGGTCATCCTCGAAATTGTAACTGTCGTCACTTTGGGGCTCCTGGGGCATGACGATGGGTGAAGTATCAGGCAGGAGGCTCGTCTGTGAGTTAATTGCGAGGAAGTTTCAGGCGGGAGCCATTTTTTATAAAAAAATCAGAGCGGGTCATCCTCGAGTTTGTAACTGTCGTCACTTTGGCGCTCCTGAAGCTTGAATATGGGGGAAGGATCAGGCTGGAGGCTCGTCTGTGAGTGAATTGCGAGGAAGTCTCAGGCGGGAGCCCTCTCCGTATGGTGCCCGCTTTGGATATGTTTAATCCGACCGGGGCATCATCGAACTTGTATATGTAATCATTCTTGGGCTCCTGAGGATTGTATCTGGGGTCAGTATCAGGCGGGAGCTTCGTTTGTGAGTGAATTGCGAGGAAGTCTCAGGCGGAAGTTCTCCCCCTATGGGGCCCGCATTTTAGCTTTTAATCCGAGCGGGTCATCCTCAAACCTGTAACTGTCTTCACTTTTGGGCTCCTGAGGCTTGAGTATGGGGGAAGTATCAGGCGGGAGGCTCGTCTGTGAGTGAATTGCGAGGAAGTCTCAGGCGGGAACCCTCCTCCTATGGGGCCCGCATTTCGTATTTCTAATCCGAGCGGGGCTTTATCGAACTTGTATATGTAATTATGTTTGGGCTCCTGAGGCCTGAATCTGGGGGAGTAATCAGGCGGGAACTTCGTCCGTGAGTGAATTGCGAGAAGGTCTCAGGCGGGAGCCCTCTCCGTATGGGGCCCGCATGTCATGCTGTTCATGCGAGCGGGTCATCCTCAAATTTGTAACTGTCGTCACGTTGGGGCTCCTGAAGCTTGAGTATCGGGGAAGTATCAGGCGGGAGGCTCGTCTGTGAGTGAATTGCGAGGAAGTCTCAGGCGGGAGCCCTCTCCGTATGGTGCCCGCTTTTGATATGTTTAATCCGAGCGGGTCATCCTCGAACGTGTGACTGTCGTTATTTTTGGGCTCTTGAGGCTTGAATATGGGGGCAGTATCAAGCGGGAGGCTCGTCTGTGAGTCATTTGCAAGGAAGTATCAGACGGGAGCCGTCTCCTTATGGGGCCCGCGTTTCATGTTTTTAATCCGAGCGGGTCATCCTCGAACTTGCAACTGTCGTCACTTTTGGGCTCTTGAAGCTTGAACGCAGGGGAAGTATCAGGCGGGAGGCTCGTCTGTGAGTGAATTGTGAAGAAGTCTCAGGCGGGAGCCCCTTCCCCATGGGGCCCGAATTTCATGTTTTTTAATCCGCGTGGGTCATCCTCGAACCCGTAACCGTCTTTTTTTGGGGCGTCTGAGGCTTGAATTTGGGGGAAGTATCAGGCGGGAGTTTCGTTTTTGAGTGAATTGTGAGGAAGTCTCATGCGGGAGCCCGGACATGTGGAGCATGCTGACCCAGCGGCCGCCCACGCGAGAGTTTCTTGAACGCGGGCCGCCGGCACCCTTGCGGAAGGCGGCCGAAAAGTTCGATGAGAAAGCGGAGAGCCCCAGGAATGAGGCCGAGCAGCTCGCCGCAGAGCTTGGCTTCGTGCTGCCTCCCGCCTGAGCGCGGCCGTGACTAGTTCGGTGCCTGCGGGGTTGTCCCAACGGCTTGCTCCCGCGCCCCAGCGGCTCGCGCGGTTGCCCCAACGGCCTGGCCCGCGGGGTTGTCCCAACGGCCGCGCGACGCGGCTATTCGAGAATGCGCCCACGCTGGCCGAGACGGCGACGGTGCCGAGGAAAATCGACCCGCGCGTTCTTGCAATAGACAGGAGAGGAGGTGGTGGGCGACCAAACAAGGAGCAGGAGGGCGAGGCAAGGGCAACGCGGGGAGCGGGTGAGGGCCCTGCGCCAGGGCGAGAATGAGAATAACGTAGAGAAGACAATACGGGCGCCTCACCGATCGCGAGGACGAAACTGAAGGTTATTTCCGGTTTTGCCGAAAAGGATTTTCATGTGGGGTCTTTCCGTCGGAGTAATTGTTTACTGTTCGAAGATTTCGTGGTGCGGTAAACATGGCCTTGGACGAAGATCTTGGACGCAGCCCTGGGCGAAGCCTTGGACGAAAATCCCGGATGACCCTGGACGAAGATCCTGATTTTGCACTCGTCGGAGGCCTCAGCGTGCGAGGGTAGCTCGTAGTTTTCCTGGGGGGCATCCCTGTCACGTGCACTGCACTATTCGGCAATCAGGGCCCTGAGATTTCTGGCGAAGCCGTGGCGCAGCCCGTATCGATTTAGGCGAACCCCTCCTGCTTCGGGGCTTCTTTTGGCGATTTGTGGCCTCCACGCCGCTGGAGTTCCTTGGGGCATTCATCGGTCATCTCTGGTTGATTCTTGCACGCATGAGGGTATCCGGAGTTGAATTTCTCACATCGCCCCTATTTGAAGAGATCGTGGCCATGGCAACCATGGTCTACACGTCGGCGCTTTCGAAGAGTGGTAAGGCCCCCCAACTTTCTGGTGCGGGTCTGCTCGTCGTGCACCGCCTTGGAACAATCCTGCTCGCACTCGGCAAGGGCTGTCCGCAACATGGTCGTGTTCGGTAGCAACTCATGGGAGCCTTGCGTGTCCTCTCGAAATTGTCTCTCGAGTGCACTCACGTGCGCCAGCGCTTGGTAAGAGAAAGCGCGTATTGAGCGTCGATGAGCTGATCCGCGTCGACTAGCGTTGATTAGCGTGGGGAAGCCGGTACGACGGCATGGGAGGCTCCCGTGAGTTGCTACAGAAACCGTGATGTGTTTACGCGCTCCATGTGCGAAGCGACAGCGACCGCGATCGCTGCTCCCCCCCCGGCGAACAGGCGCCGGCTGCCGCTGCGCCGTCGCTTGCGCTGAAGCGGCAGGCGCCGCCGGAGGACGACGTGCCGCCGGAGGCGCCGCGGACGTCCACCATCTCCGTCTCCGTCGCCGCCGCCGCCGTTGTGCCGCCGTTGCCATCGCCGCCGCCGCCGTTGCCGTCGCCGCCGCCGACTCCGCCGTCGTCGCCGCCGTCGCAGTCGTCGCAGGCGCCGTCGTCGTCGTCGTCGTCGTCGTCGTCGTCGTCGTCGTCGTCGTCGTCGTCGTCGTCGTTGTCGTCGTCGCCGTCATCGATCGACGAGTTTTTCGGAAGTTCTCGGGCCTTCTGGGTCTTCGGGGGCGCCCCCATGGCCACGGCTGGATCCGCTTCGTCATCATGGTCAGAACAAATCCAGGACAGGTCCAGGGGTCGTCGCGCTCTACGACAACTTGCGAACCCCACCCCTGTGGGTCCAATCGACGCTGGGATATCTGACATCCCCGTCAGGGATCACTTGGCTGCTGACATCCTTTAGTAGCTGGACCCTCGCCAGCGTCTCTGATGCGCATGGCGATTAAGGATCACACGTGGTTGCCTCGCCGTCTCAGAGCTTCGAGTCTCCTGCGATCGAAGAAATCACGCTGAACTTATTGTTTCTCCATCTCGACCTTCAGGGGCTGGGAGGGCTCTTTCGGGCAATTTCGGGCACCTGGGGCAGTCATAAGTCCTTCCAGGATGAAAAGGTGGCCAGGAAGGACCCCTGGAGAGGTCTGGGGGCCTACTTTGAGTGGATTTCGGGTTCTGGCGCATCTTATTCCCCCTCCTTTTTCTCCTCCTCCTTCCTCTCCCCTTTCTCCTGCAGCTGGTGGGCTCGGTCGTGCTGCGCTTTCGGTGCCTCGAAGCGAAAGTGACGAACGTCATCCTGGAGTCGAGCGTGGTCGAGATGATGAGTACGCAGAGTCTTCGCAGCCGCACTTTGTGGCTGCGGCGTGGGCGCCTGTCCGCCTGTCGCTGGACCTTGGTGAAGGGCTGCTCTTCGGTCGAGCTCCCCGACGTCGGCGGCAGCTTTCACAGGACGGTCTGAGGGGGCGGAGGGTGATGCCACGCTGCTCTTGCTTCCACATGGGGCTGGCTGAACTCTCTCGTTGCGTCCGTGGTGGCGAGCGGGAAGCTTCCCCGATCCAGCCTTCCAGTCTTCCAGTCCTCCCCCCCCCCTCATTTTCGCAATTTTTTCGTGCGCCCCGCTCGCCGGTGCTCCTAGGACAGCATGCCGACGAGTGGGAGCGGACGGGGCTGCCGCGGATGTCGCCGATGCTCGTGCCACGTGCTGCTCACGCCTGCGCCCATCCCAGACCTCAAGTTTGTTTTGATTGTCTGTCTGTCTGTCTGTCTGTTTGTTTGTTTGGTTTGGTTTGGTTCGGTTTGTTTGGTTTATTTGTTTGTTTGTGTGTTTGGTTTGTTTTGTTTTGCTTGCTGTGTTTTGGTTTGTTTCGTTTGATTTATGTTGTTGCTGTTTGTTTTGTCTGTGTTGTGTTGTTCGTTGTTGTTGTGGTTTTCCCTCGTGGATCGAGGCTTCTGTCTGTTATGCTGCTTGCTTGTGTGCTGAGCCGTCGTTCACAGGCCGCTCGCTGGAGCCAGCTCGCCGCCGATCAGGGATCAGTGCGTTTGGCCGTGATGAGGCCCCATGTCAAGGCTTCTCTTCGCCGCGGCTGGAGTCGCTTCGTGCGCGCAAGATGTTCCCCAATCAGAGCTTGCCTCTGTAGGGGTCCTAGCGGATTTAAGGGTAGGTGAGGTGCGCCGCCGATTCGGTGGCCGGGCCCGCGTGCCCGGGTGCCCGGGTGCCCGGGTTTGCCGCCGATTCGGTGGTTGGGCCCGGGTGCCCGGGTGACGGGTGCCCGGGTGCCGGGTGCCGGGTGCCCGGGTGCCCGGTGCCCTGTAGCCCTATAGTTTTATAGCCCTATATCCCTATCGCCCGATAGCCCTATAGCCCTATAGCCCTATAACCCTATAGCCCAGATAGCCCTATACCCTATAGCCCTATAGGCCTGTAGCTCTATTACCATACAGCCCAATAGCCCTATAGCCCAGATAGCCCTATAGCCCTACAGCCCTAAAAAGATTATATTTGGGTCTTTTCTCCGGTATCATTTGTACATCGGTCGTTGACTGTCGGTATCTTCGGATCTCCAGGTTCCACTCTAATCTGAGCGCCTTCCTACTTCAGTGATCGAGTGGCTTCACCTGTTCCGTCCCCTCCTTAGGGGGCGGGCGGACACCCAATCTACTTTCAACGCCTCCCTACTTCATGCTTCTACCTGCTGCTTCCGACCGATGGGTATCCATAGCCACTGCGTCTTGAGTTTCGGGCTCCCGTCCTCCGTTGCCAGGGGGGCGCCGTGGACATGGACAGAACAGACTCGCCTCCAGAGGGCAGATTTTGATCCATATCCACCGCGTCCTGAAGTTTCGGATTTCCCATCCTCCGATACCAGGAGCGCCGTGGATATGGATTAAAAAAAAGTTTGCCCCTGGAGGGCAGATTTTATCCACGTCCACTGCGCCGCGGCCTGTTGGCGCCCCTTCCCAGAAAGGCCAAGACGCAGTGGATATGGATCTGCGTCGTGCCCGCATGTCGATCGTCCCGATCGACCGCGCCCTCGGCGAGGTCTGGGAGGTCGGTTCTGAGGCTGGTGGCCCAGACCTTCTGCTTGGCATCGCTCAGACGTGTGCATGTTTCCTCCGGCGAGGACCATCGAGGAGCATCCTCGATCATTTGGCGAAAAAACCACGCACGAAACCAAAAAAAACACAGGAAATGGACGTCCGAGCGACGGCCAGCTTGCGCCTCGAAGAAGCTCGCGCCGCTGGTGCCTGGCAGTTTTCGGCATCCGGGGGGGTTGTTTTCAGGACCCGGGGCCTGCCAGTGACGGCCTGGGGTGAACAGGCGGCCCAGGGCGAGGGGTCGGGAGAGGTCCACTCCTCCTCCTCCTCCTCCTCCTCCTCCTCCTCCCCTCCCCTCCTCCTCCTCCTCCTCCTCCTCCCCCTCCCTCCTCCTCTCCCCCTCCTCCTCCTCCTCCTCCTCCTCCTCTTCCTCCTCCCCTCCCCCTCCCTCCTCCTCCTCCTCCTCCTCCTCCTCCTCCTCCTCCTCCTCCTCCTCCTCCTCCTCCTCCTCCCCCTCCTGCCAGTGACGGCCGATTCTGTCAGAGCTGTCGGCCCGTACCGATCATTTTGTCTATTTTGGTTCGGCCTTCATTGATGTCTGCCTCCTGGTAGGGTTCCAGGTCGGGCCCTCGGGCCGCCGCAAAGCGGCTTGGAATGGAACCCGCCTGGCCAGGAAAGGTGTCGAGCTCAGAGGGCCAACGTGAAAACAAGTAGTGACGTCTGCAGGCCCACGACACGAGCAAATCGTGGCGTCGCGGGTCTGGGGCTGTCGCTGCGTCGTGCTGCTCGCGCCTTTATTGTGATGTCTCCTGCTTTCTTGGCAGTCGGGTGGGGGAGGGGAAGGCTCGTCGCCGCGGCTGAGCTCCAGGGAGTGGACTGAACGGCTTCTTATCCCTCTCCTCCTCTTCCTCCTCCTCCTCCTCCTCCTCCTCCTCATCCTCCTCCTCCTCCTCCTACCCCTCCTCCCTCTGCGACAGAAAAATGGCGATGCAGGTCTTGGTGCCCCCATCCAGATGGAGAAGCAGATGCGTTCTGATGCTTTTGTTTGGGGGCGTCCTCTGGGGGGGGGGGGGGGCCTTCCGCCACGGCTGGATTCGCTTACGGTGGAGACCCATGCCAAGAAGCACCCTGTTTGCCTCTAGGGTTGGAGGACGATTATTGGAGAGGAAGCATGTTGCCAAATAATTTCCAGATGTCTAGAACATGTGATACAACTGGATTAAACATGTAAAACCATGTTTAAAGCATGTTCAGGACATTTTCCTACATTTTAAACACAGTTTTAATTCGATGATAGGACTGTTAGGGTGTCCATCATCGTGGCATCCACAATTACAGTGGAGACCCATGCCAAGAAGCACCCTGATTGCCTCTAGGGCGCTCTGGGCTTCTTGGGTCTCCATGGCTTTGCGATGGGAAGCATGGCGTTCCCACACCGAACATCGACGGACGCCCTGGGGTCTCAGGGTTAGGCTTCTTGTGGAAGGTTTCTTGTGGTCAGGCTCCTTCTGTAGAGCTCCTGGTCGGAACGCGCTCCAGGACGGGGTCGGGGGGGCGGTTCGGAAAGGCGGAGATTCCGGGGGGGGGGTGGGCGTCCCAGCCAGCGGAGGCCCTCACCTGGCTGGAGAGCACCCTCCCTCGGTCGGGCCCCCGTGCCCTCAGGAGAGGCCGCGGGTGGTGCTGCTGCCGCAGGTGCCCATGCCGTTGCTCCTCATCTTGCCCCCCCTCCGCTGACCTCACCGGTGTTGTTCAACATTACGACCGTGTTCAGAATTGTGGTGGTGCTCGCAACGATGATGCTCATCATCACCATCATCATCATCATCATCATCATCATCATCATCATCATCATCAGCATCATCATCACCACCATCATCATCATCATCAGCATCATCATCATCATCACCACCATCATCATCATCAGCAGCAGCATCATCAGCATCATCACCACCATCATCATCAGCATCAGCATCAGCATCAGCATCATCATCATCAGCATTATCATCATCATCATCATCATTATCATCATCGTCATAGTCATCATCGCCATGATCATCATGCTAAGCATCAACATCATCATAATCTCCCCTTATCATTAATACCATCTTCATCAGCATCAGCAGCGTCATCATCATCACCATCATCATCAACATCATCAACATCATCATGAGCAACATCAGCATCAGCATCAGCATCAGCATCAGCATCAGGATCAGGATCAGCAGCAGCAACATCATCAGCATCATCATCATCAGCATCAGCATCAGCAGCATCATCATCATCATCATCATCATCATCATCATCATCATCATCATCATCATCATCATCATCATCATCATGATAGTCATTCGGGCGGGCGGGCGACGCCCATGCGTCCTGCATTCCCCCCCTCCCCCCTGGAATGCAAAGCTGGATCCACACCCCTCGTCGCTGGCCGCTCGTCCTGGTCAGCTTTGCTTCTTGGGGGGGAGGGGGGGCGAGCACTTCTCGGGGGAGGGGTGGAGGGAGGCGGCGCGCGCTTGTGGCGGGCTGCCCCCTCGGTCTGCCGCTGGCCGCTCTGGCAGCCAGGTTTTCGATGCGCGGGGGCGACGAGGCGCAGTCTGCGAGACGACCCTGAAGGGGCGACGCGCGTCCTCCACATGCGAAGCGTTAGCGACCATTGCGCGCCTTGCGCTGCTGGTCGTCATGTTCAACGACGCTGGCAGGGGCCGCCCGGACGCCCCCGGGGGCCGCCCATGACGCCCCTGGGCGGCGTCGTCGTCGTCGTCGTCGTCGTCGTCGTCGTCGTCGTCGTCGTCCTGCCCGCGTGCGACGCCCCGGGCCCGAGGCCCCCCGCCGCGCCCCCCCCCCGCTCTGCACGCACGAAATGGGTGCTGAAAGAATGGGTACAATGCCCAACAGCGGATCTTGTTCATTCTGAACAGGGCTCGCTGTCCACGCCGCTGCGGCCTGTGTCCATTCGAGACAGGAGGCCGCCTGCCCAACAGCGGCCGCTGTGGGTTTGGGACAACATTTGCTGTTGGGCATTGTACCCATTCTTTCGGTACACCTTAGGCGATGCTTAAGAAAACTTAAATGTTCGGCCAGAGTCTCGATTATTCTTAATGTTTCAATGTAAATCCCAAGATTTGAATAGAACTTTTGGGTTTTTATTCAAGTTCTGAGACTATGAATTTCTTAACCCATGATTTCTTAAGCATTTCGCAGGGTGTACCCATTTCGGGCGTCCAAACCCGCGGGCCCCCCCCCCCCGGGCGCCGCGCGCGCGGCCTGCGCCCGCCGACGCCCTCGCGCGGCCGGGGAGCGGCGCGGCGCGCGCGGCGCGCCGAGCCGCGGCGCCGAGCCGCGGCCGCGCCGCGAGGACGAAGTCGGGCCTGCCGTCTCTTCAGGAGGATGATTCAAACATAGTCAGAAGGAGTATTTTTTGGGGGGTGTTTTTTTTGTTTTGTTTTGTTTTGTTTTGTTTGAAAATTAGGGGTATGTTTGGGGTGCTCTGGAATTTTCGGATAGACAAAAGGATTCTTCAAACATAGTCCAAAGGATGATTCAAATATAGTCAGAAGAAGTTACCTAACAGCTTGTTCTGATAGGTTTCTAGTGGTCTCAAAAGAGAGCAGCATATGACTCCACAGGGGGGTCTGGGCGGGTGCCGGACAGGGTGCCGCAGAAGTCGTTTTAAGCCAACAGTCACACACTTCGTGCTCTTCGACCTCCCAGAACTCCATTCCCGGGCCACATTTTGAATGCCCGGAGCCAACTGTAGGCCACTTCGTGCTCTTCGATTTCCCAGAACTCCATTCCGGGCCACATTTTGAATGCCCGGAGCCAACTGTAGGCCACTTCGTGCTCTTCGAGTCCCAGAACTCCATTCCCGGGCCACATTTTGAATGCCCGGAGCCAACTGTACCACTTCGTGCTCTTCGAGTTCCCAGAATTCCATTCCCGGGCCACATTTTGAATGCCCGGAGCCAACTGTAGGCCACTTCGTGCTCTTCGAGTTCCCAGAACTCCATTCCCGGGCCACATTTTGAATGCCCGTAGCCAACTGTAGGCAACTTCGTGCTCTTCGACTTCCCAGAACTCCCATTCCTGGGCCACATTTTCAGCAGGGGCAAGAGCACGACGAGGAGGAGGACGAGCAAGACCAGGAGGACGAGGACGAGCAGGAGCAGGACGAGGAGCAGGAGGAGCAGGAGAAGAAGGACGAGCAGGAGAGGAGGAGGACGAGCAGGAGGAGGAGGACGACCAGGAGGAGGAGGACGACCAGGAAGAGGAGGAGGAAAGAGGATGGGATGGGGGAGGGGGAGGACTACCAGGAGGAGGAGGAGGAGGAGGAGGAGGAGGAGGAGGAGGAAGAGGAGGAGGAGGAGGACGAGGAGGAGGAGGAGGAGGAGGACGAGGAGGAGGGGGGGGGAGAGCACCAGGAGGCTGAGGCGGAGGGGGGGGGAGAGCAGACAGGAGGAGGAGAACGAGGACACCAGGAGGAGGAGGAGGAGGAGGAGGAGGCGGAGGAGGAGGAGGAGGAGGAGGAGGAGGAGGAGAGAAACACCAG